AAAAAAAAAAAAGAGTAAAGAATTTTAAAGAAATAAAAATTAAAAAATAAAGAAAATATGTCCTATTTGAAGATACATTCTGTCCCCTGAGACTTTTATCAACTTTTAGATCACCGAGGTCACAGGAAGACTGAAGGAGCTGGGCTTGTGTCCTATTTAGGTAAAAACAGTAATACCTCACTCGTTTTACAACAGTGAGGTCCGTTATACTTTCAACTAAGAGAACCTTGTTCATTAAAGACTTAAAAAACTGTTTCTAGAAATATACCATTGTTAATTTTATTGAGTTGACAGAATGTTACACACGTACTTCTTGATGACTTGGCTGGTCACGGAAAACACAATTACATGCTCTACTTTGAGGCAACAATGCCCTCTAGGGACATTAAGGAACGAAGGTGACTTGTTCTTATTCAGTGGACTCACACTGCTATGTTCTTAGTTCCTCTGAATTTTGGGGGCTGCTTTTCTCTTCTTCGAATCTGTTAGGGGGCCTATCGCATAAAGCACCCTCCTGCGGGTTTAAACCTCCTGGTTTAAGGTATCTGTGCTGCAAGAGTTTGAAGACCAGGTAACCAAGATGGCTAGAACTTTTGTAAAATCAAGAGAAAATATTATCTGAGAGACGGACAAGTGATTTCTACTGTGAAAAAAAGGTTATATGCAAAGTATCTGAATTTGAAACCACTAGCATTCTGTTCACAGGCAATAGAGCAGAGCACTTAAGAATATGGGTTTTGAGGGGCACCTGGATGGCTCAGTTGTGAAGCATCTGCCTTCGGCTCAGGTCATGATCCCAGGGTTCTGGGATTGAGCCCCGCATCAAGCTCCCTGCTCAGCGGGGAGCCTGCTTCTCCCTCTCCCACTCCCCCTGCTTGTGTTCCTGCTCTTGCTATCTCTCTGTCAAATAAATAAATTTAAAAAATCTTTAAAAAAAAAAAGAGTTTTGGAGCCAGCATGCTTGGACTCAGGCTCTGGGTCTGCTTACCGGCTGTGGGATCTTGAGTCAGCTACTTAACTCTGTCCCTCAGTTTCCTCATCCTATATCATACATATAAGGGTAACAATAGTATCCACCTAATAAAGTTGTTATGAGGATTAAATAAGTTAACATTTGCAAAGTGTTAGAGTAGCTCTTGGGATAGAGTAAGGGCTATGTAGGTTTGATAAATTAACACCACCAACAAACAAGCCTTTTCTACGGACTGTGTTCCAAAGGTTAAAGTTGCAGGAAGCAGAAATTCCTTCCCTAAGGAGGGGATTATACTTTCTAACTTAAAATGTCCCCAAAGTACACTTCCCTTTGATCTGGCAATTCTACTCTTAGGACTCTATTCCAAAAGAAAAAAAGTACCAGCTCATATGTATAAGGATGCTTACTGCAACACTGTTCACAGGGGTCAAGAATTGGATCTATTATATGGACACTGAACAGAATGCTCTGAAGAGATGCTCATGAGATATGAAGCGAGAAAAGCAAGATGCAGAAAATTATTTGTTATGGTTCCACTTTTGTAAAAGAAACAAATGTTTAATTTATGTATATACGTGTGTGTGTGTATTGTTTATGTGGGTATGGATAGCCCAGAGAAAAATATGGAAGAACATGCACTAGAATGTTAACATCACTTACCTCCAAGGGCAGAGACGGGGAAATGAAATGTTGAATGTGTGTGGGGAGCAGGGCTGGGGAAAAGGAATCCATGATAAAAACAGCATATATGACATGATTCCATGTCTATAAAATTACAGACACACAGACACACACACGCTTCATCTCAGTCTCTTCATCTGAAAAATAATCCTTCGCTTGCCTTCCTTCAAGGGTGATTATGAAGATTAAGTGTGAGAGTCTGAGATTGTGGGTGGAAAACTAAAAATTGCACTAATCGCAGAGGGATGATTCTCTTGTTTCTTAGCAAAACAATTAGAACTTACCAATGCGGACACTGACCAGGGGCCAAATATTCCTCCTTCTCCAAACACTGGCTCAAAGAAGGGCACGGCGACCAGCAACATGGCGGAGGACATTGGGGCCTGGTAGTACAACAGCTGCATCGAGTTCACTTGCAATTCATGCTGTTTGGCTCCTACCCACTGAAAATCAGGAGACAAAACACGTAAGGTAGGGAAAAAATACCATCGCCTAGTAAACAAAAGATGCGACTCTAGTCACAGGGATGGGAACTTAGGGCAGGGCTGGGGGAAGAGGAAATGCCTAATTATTCTACAAGACTCCAAAGATCAATTAGAAAAAAAAGATCAATAATGTATACAAATGTCCTTTAAGCACCTTGGATGAAAGGAGCTTTACAAATTCAGTGTATGACAATCTATTTTCTTCTCAGTTATAAAGAAGGAGAAAAAATATCCTCTCTTCCCTGCCGACCCTAGTAAATGAGCAAGTCAATGAATTCACACAGGGGCCCATGAGTATCAGAGATCTTGGGGAAAGGAGACAAGAATGGAAATTTAGGTGATAAGCAGGAACACAGATGCAGTGCTAGACTTCATTTCTTTCTAAAACTGCCCCCCCCAAAAAAAGAAGTAGGGGGTGAGCGGGGCAGACTAATTAGGGATTGACAGGAACCTCAGCTACCCTGGCTGCCAATGTGGGTGGCTAGAAAAGTATGTGAGGCCTTTTCATTCACGTTAGAAAACCCCAATCAATGGCAGAAGGAATTTTCTTCTTTGTGGATGATCTTTCTGTGGGTAATCCAATACACTTGAAGAAATTAAATAATCGCAAATCCTTTTAAAAGACTGTATCATTCAGGGGTGCCAGGGTGGCTCAGTCAGTTAAGCATCTACCTTTGGCTCAGGACGTGATCTCAGGGTCCTGGGATCAAGTCCCACATCAGGCTCCCTGCTCTGCAATAAGCCTGCTTCTCTCTCTGCCTGCCTTCGACTCCCCCTGCTCGTGCTCTCTGTCAAATAAATAAATAAGATCTTAAAAAAAGAAAAAAAGACTACATCATTCAGAGGGTGCCTGGGTGGCTCAGTCAGTTAAGTGTCCAACCCTTGATTTCGGCTCAGGTCATGATCTCAGGGGCGTGGGATCGAGCCTGAGTTGGGCTCCACACTCAGTGCAGAGCTGGCTTATGTCTCTCTCTCTCTCTCTGCTCCTCCCCCTCACTCATGCTCTCTCTTTTTCTAAAATAAATAAAATCTTTTAAAAAGATTCAAAAAAATAAAAGACTATGTCATCCAGGAGAACCAACACCTCAAAACCTCAAATCCCATCAGTCCTCAAAATGTTTCGCAAATATGACTAAAAAGAAGGCTTTAAAGAAAGCCTGACAGGGCTGCTTGAATAAGATCTGGCAAGAACAGCCAGGCTTTTGAATAACTGCTCCTCATAATTCTTTTTCCTGTAGATCTGGGGATCCTGTTCTATAAACTCGAAGGCTACAGAAATTCACCAGGACAAAAGCAGAAAAGCAGGAAATTTGAAACATACTCCCGCCAGCCTTAACTGAGAGGCTTCTGTGAGTATGAAGGACAAAGAATCGATTCTCCCACGGCCTGCTCCTGGGGGGGTGCGGGGCGCAGGGAGCAAAAACGGACGCAGAGTGTGGAGGCCCGGCCCTCAGTTTCTTTAGCAGCCTGCCCAAGCGGCTGCGTGCCTGCCGTACAGCCTCCTGGAATGGTGGCTCTTCTCAGGGCCTCTGCTTCCCCTCTGTGCTTCTGCCCGCCATCGCTCTAAATGCAACTGCTCTCCCAAAGGGCACCGTAACCTCCAAAGGTCACCCCTCTGTGCTCTGCCTGACAGGGCTCTCTGCAGGCCCGGCAAATTTCTCCTGGGGGAACTTGACTTCTGGTCTGCACTGTATCCTCACTCACGTCTTCCCTCATTTACTATTTTTAAGGTAGATGTGTGGCCTTTTTCTTTTATCTCCCTGACTGATCTCACTTACAGCTGAAGACATCTCCAGCTCTGACCTCCGTTCTCAGGGCATCCTTAATCCCCAAATGTCAACAGCTTACCGGCCGCCTTCACCTACACAATCTGCAGGGACTGTTCTAAAACCAACTCAGTACTTACTTACTGTTGCTCCCATAATTAAAGACCTAATCTCCCCCAAGGATGGGAGGCCTTACTTTTCTCATTCCACATTCGGTCCAGTCCTGCTAATTCCTTCTCCAAAAGGTTTCTGGCCTCTGTCGCTGTTTTGTTCAGTGCCTTCCTGTCTTCCCCTTGGACCGTGGAGAGCCTTCACCCATCATGTGCCACCAGTTAATTTGCTGAAACACAGAGACCGATCAAGCCACTCCCCTATCTAAACCCCTTTCCTGGCGCCTGCAGGACAAAGGGCACACTTCCTTAGCATGTGCCATCTGGTCTCACCCATCCGCAAGCCTCAGCCTCCCACGATGCAACTACAGTCTCACCAAATACATCAAGTTCTCCAAAAATGCTCCGTACTGTCACACATCTTTGCAAAGAAAGACCTCTGCTGTCTTTCTCTGCTAAGCAAACTCCTGTGGGTCCCTCCATTTAAATTGTCAACTTTTCCATAAAGTCTTACCTCATCACCCCCTTGAAGAACTGCCACTTCCTCCCCGGTGTTCCTCAGAACTTTCCTCATACCCTCGGCTACACTGCTTGTGACTGGCTGTCTACGGCTAATGTACTACAGCTAGTGTCTCTACAGCGCTGGATTTTAGCTGCTTTTCATCTTTGGATCTTCAAGGCTGAGCATCAAGCTGAAGGAATGTCTGCTGAACGAATGAATAAGGGAGTCAACCGTCTTTTCACAACTAAAGCTAATACCTGATCACTCATCTTTTAACTCCTTTTAATGCCCTAGCAGTATAAGAAGAAATAACTTAGAAATTACAGCTGGGTACAATGGGAAAATACAACTGTTTTTAAAAAAATGAACTTTTGGGGAATATACCTAATTCCTTAACAGTACTTTTACTATTTTTTAATAATAGAAAGCTCTGCCTATTAGTTTGTCCACAACCATTCCTTAGGCAATCCCATTTCAAATATGTACCTGAGGGATACACAATCCTTTGATTCTAATCTACAGCAATTTTGAGACTTGTGGAAACAAAAAATGGTCATATTGGCAAGGACAGTGAATACGCGGAGTTGAAATTATGCATAAGGAATACAAGAAATTCTGATGCTTAATAAACAGTTAATCCCTCCTGGGCCAAAAAAAAAAAAAAGAAAAGGTCTGTTTAACAAAAAAAGACAAACAGGAATGTTCACTTACTGTATCTAGTAACAAAATTTAAACTCACTGAAGTACATCTAAGTACAATCTTCTTAAAGCACAAGGCTGAGCTTGCTCTCATTCCTCTCTGTAGTGAAAGACAGAATATCTTAGAGCCAAATGACAGCACTGAGTGGGTGCTCCGTCCTTTCATGACACTGGTCTCTTATTTACACTGCTTCTTCCCACAGCCCCACAATGTTTATATAACAATGTTTCTGAAATGATCAGTACTAGAAAGTTTCAGATGTAAGGCTGTATTCTTAAAGTTACAGCATGCAGAACAAGAATGCCTTAGTTTATAACCAGCAGATATTTGTGAAAAAAGAAAATTGGTTACACATTGCGGCTCTGACTCCCCATGCAGGCACACCCAGAATTTCCAGTCCAAGGTTTTCAGTATAGAGAAAATACTGTTTCACTGCACCCTATACCAAGTTATTTTTCCCCACTATGTAAGAAAACAAAAACCATACTTGTTGAGATTTTATGGTAATGAAGTAAGTGGATCCATGCACAAATTTTTAATGAGTGCCTGCTGTAGGCAAGGCACCGTGCTACGACAGTACCAGAAGTGAAATACCCATTGCTAGAAAATACGGATGCAGACAAACCACTGGAAGCTGACATATAAGTTGTAACAGCAGCATATTTTTTGAGGCAAAGATTTATAAATCTGAAGTTTTCCTTCCCTGTTCCAGTTTTGGAAAGGTACTCATTCCTTCACAGTAATCTTGTAATTAAAGAGTAATCATAAATTTAACCAAAGCTCTCAGTTTCAAGTACGAAGTCTTACTACTCATTTTGTTAAGATTTCTCAGGTAATACTATAGTATCCCCCCAAAATCAAATTGTTAAGCATGGGGATTATACACTTACAACAGGTAGGGAGGTATTTGGAGCATCATACACCCAAGTTTCTCTGTCTCCTTTCTTCTCTTCACCTTGAGTCAGACAATTTATGCAATTATGCTTTCTTCCCAACAGCCTATTGTCTCTATACTGTATTTTCTAAACCTTGGGATATAGCTTCAAAATTTATGAAATCTGCTAAAAAGGCATACAAAGAAAAAAAAATTACCAACCACTTGATAAAGGGATGTAACTAAAACACCAAGAGCGGCAAACACCATTCCAAGGAAATTAAACTTCACATCGTAATAAGAATTTAGGATTACACCTAAAGTTATAGGAATCTGTAAAGAAAAAGAGGCAAATGTTGTTTAGATTAAATTCATGAGACATAAACTTAGTATTCCTTTCATGTTGTCTTACAAGGTTAATCATAAAAACATCACTGGGAAACAGTGAACCTCTATAAATGGATTTTTTTTTTTCCATTTGAGAAAACAAACCGATTTCCTCAAAGTGAAATATGTTAATTCTATATTTATGTTCATATTTGATTCTACTTAAAATTCTGGGTAAAATAATGAATCAATGCATTTAAATTTGCAACAAACACATACGACCTGCAAGCACAGAGGAGTAAATGGGCCCCCCCAACTAGTGTCTAAACAACATGTAAGCATGAACGTATAACAAAAGCATTAAGAATTTAAATACTGTAAATCATTAAGTGCTAAAATTATCATCTCCTTTTATTTAAAGACACAGAAACCTGTGCAGTATGTCGCTGCAGACATATTCGGAGACATATTTTATGCTGAACCTTTAACGTTTACATGATTTGATTCCCCTGCGTCAAAGGAGGGCCGCTTTTCAGTTTGAGATTTTGCAGATATTCTGATACACTGAATTGCGTAACGCAATACAGCCTTCTTTTCTTACCAATCACAGCATTTAAGGATTTCCATCAAACAGTAGTTACGAAAACTCACGCAAGCACACTCTTCCTGGGCTAGGAGCCCGACAGAGTGCCAAGATGACTTTTTTCACCTCTCCCAAATAAGCCCGAGGTTCACATGGTCACAGATGACTCATTTGTGGATTTCAAGATGATGGGGAAAGAGCGTGGCGCAAGGTTAAACATTCAAATTTCCCGGGGAGAAAGACGGTCCAGGAGGTGGATTGTTAAAGGTGTGCCTCGCGAAGCTGAAGCTACTCACCAGCGTGAGCTGTATTTTGGTAGAGAAGGTTTTCTTGTAGCAGAGGGTCTGGATGACTATGATGACCGGCGTGGTCATGGCCTTGGCCAGCTGATAGGTGCCTATGGTGTTGTTCTGCAGAGAGAGATTGGTGAAGACTACGAAGCCGCAGAAGCTGAGGGCCAGGAGGAGGAGTTTGGAAGGCGGTAGACTTTTGGGGGCAAAGATGTCCAGCTTCTGGCAGATGTACAAGCCCAGCCAGGTGACCACGAAGTGCACCAGGGTCAGGCTCATGTTAGGGAAGCCGTGGTGCACATAGATCCATTTGTTGAGAAACACGATGCAGATGGACACCAGTAGGTTGAGCAGGAGCCCAGCGGCTATGCGCCCGTTGCCTCGCATTCGGTCCGCAAGCGATGCCATAACCCCCGCCAAGCCGGGGCCCTCCAGCCCCCGAGAGGGATGCCCAGCCTGTCTCCCGCCGCTCTTCCCCTCCGCCGCTGCCTCCACGTCCTCTCCGGCTTCACCGTCTGGCCCGGGAAAGGCATGCACTCTCCGCGTCCCGGGCGAGCGGCAGCCTCAGCGGCACACACATGCTCCGCCGCCGCCCATTCAGCTGGTGCCGACGCGGCAGCACGTCCCGCGCGCCCCGCCCCCCTTCGCCCGCGACCACGTGGCTCGGGGCGCCCGTGCTTCCGCCCCCGAGCTGTGGGTGGAGCAGTGTCTACCCTGCGCAGGCGCGTTGGGCTCTGCGTGAGGAGAAACTGCATCCTCGGTCCCCCACCTCCTTGGTCGCCTAACGCGGGCTCTGGTGGGGTCCGTCTGGGACTCCTCTCTTGATGTTGGACATTTCCTTTGTGTCAGTTGACTCACATGCCAGACGGCTGCTCTCAGGCTGCTGGAGTGCAGACGCTATTGGCCAGTTTTATGTATGGAACAGATGCTGAGCAAATGTAGTCATCACTAGAGAGGGGAAAGCATTACTTCTTGAAAGCGTATTTTTAAACACTTTATTTTAAAAATCAAAATAAGCAAAATAGTATGATGAACTCTCATACTCATCATTGTTAGTACACTATTTAGATTTTCTTTTTGAATCCATGTTGGGCCTTTTAATTGTTCTAGAAAAGTGTCCATTTAACTTAAATGTCCTAATACTTGGTTAGAGTTGTGTATAGTGATCTACCATATTTTAAATTTATTTCATCTGTTGTTCTACGACTTATTGTAAAAACTATGCATTTGGGTTTTCTTTGTCCCTTGATTATTCTTGCCAGTAATTTGACTATTTTAAGCTTTTCTTTTTAGATTTTATTTGTCAGAGAGAGAGAGCACAAGCAGGGGGAGCAGGAGGCAGAAGAGAAGCAGGATCCCTGCTGAGCAGAGAGCCCGATGGGGGACTGGATCCCAGGACTCTGGGATCATGACCTGAGCCTGAGCTGAAGGAATATGCTTAACCGACTGAGCCCCCCAGCATCCCAGTAGTTTGACTAGTTTATTGGCCTTTTCAAAGATTACTTCTAGTGATTTTGATTCAAATTACTTTTTTTTTTTTCCCCCTAATTTCTTGAATAGAATGTTCAGTTAATTTATTTAAAAATAAAAGGACTGGGGTGCCTGGGTGGCTCAGTCGCTAAGCGTCTGCCTTCGGCTCAGGTCATGATCTCAGAGTCCTGGGATCCAGCTCCACATCGGGCTCCCTGCTCGATGGGAAGTCGGCTTCTCCCTCTCGCACTCCCCCTGCTTGTGTTCCTGCCCTTGTGCTCTCGCTCTCTGTCAAATAAATAAATCTTTAAATAAAAATAAAAGGACTTAGGGGCACCTGGGTGGCTCAGTGGGTTGAGCACAACTCTTGGTTTCCACTCAGGTCATGACCTCAGGATGGTGGGATGGAGCCCCCTAGTCTGGAGCCCTGTGCTCAGCGGCCCAGAGTCTGCTAGAGATTGTCTCCTTTTCCCTTCCCATCCCTCTCTGCTCTTCCCCCTGCTCACTTGGACATGGGCACACGTGGTCGCTCTCTAAAATAAATAAAATCTTTGAGAAAATAAAATAATAAAAAAATCAAAGGACTTACGCTATGAGTTTCCCCCCTGAGAATAGCTTTACCCACAGTCCTCAGGACATTTTAATATTCTGTCCTTGATTCGTAAGTAGTTTGATTGACAGTTTTAATTTCCTCTTTGATGTAAGAATTATTCAAATATTGAGCACCTGTTTTGTGCCAGGCACTAAATTTGGCACTTGGAAGATTGTGGAGAGTAAAGCCAGACCAGACCCTCTCCCTTATAACTTAGAGAAGACTGGTAGTAAACAATGATCAACTACGATAAGTGAATATTTTGAAGTAATAAAATATGGTCCTGTGAAGGTGTAAGACAATCAGATCTAAACTTGGGGAGGGGGAGGTGGTCAAGAGGTTCCCCAAGGAAATGAATCTTTAAGATAGGAGAATGAGTAGAAGTTAATTAGGCAAAGTCTAAAGTCTAGTTTTCCTAACATGGTCTTCCTGAAAAGCTTTTAAACTTCCTATCATGCCACCAAATTCTATGGATTCATACCACACCATGTGCCCTTTGCACTGTTTATACTGCCGTCCTCCCTTCTAGTTTGGGGTCTACAGAACTCTCTAATCAACGATTTACAATGTTTACCTTCACCTGCTCCCCAATTAAGAGCCATGGCACCCTGTCTTCATTTAGTCTACTCAATTCATTGTCTCCTTGTGGTTATAGATTTGGACTGGTAATTTTAGCATGGATAATAAATAATCTTTTTATCATTCATCTATTTATCTTGCAGTATTTGAAGATAGTTACGATATGAAATCTGAAATTTGGGTTAAAATATAACAGTATCTAGTGGATTTCAAATGCCTGTTGGGTTAGAGTTACTGAGTCTAACTCCATATTTGCCATTTAATCCAGGTTTCTACTGTTCTGGAAACTGCCCTTCTCCAGACTGATTTAATTGGTTAAGCGGCTTTCTCTACCTCCTTAACAAAGCACAGTAGTCCTCATCTTTACTTGTCCTGAAATGTGATTTTTATCTTTATTCTCATTTACCGATGTTGAAAATAGAGGTTCATGGCTGTTACCTTGCAGCTAGAGGGATGAGAATAAGATTCCAACCCAAATTTCTCTGGCTCCTGGCCCACTTGCCCTCCTTTTTATTATGGAAAATTTCAAACTTGTGCCAAGTTAAAATACCTGTCACCTGGTTTCAACAGCTGTCATTGGCATGTGTACCTACTCCTCACCTCTCCATTTGATCTTTTAGAAGCAAATTTACATTCACTCAAATGGAATAATCTAAACTGTATGTTTTTTGATAAATGGATGCACCTATATAACCCACACCCGTTGAGATACAGTTCCATCACCTCACAAAATTCCCTAGAAAATCCCTACCCCGCCATGCGCAAGAGGAAACCACTTTCATTTTTCCTTCGCCATGGTTTTGACTGTTCTAGAACTTCATATAAGTGGATCGTACGGTATGTACTTCTGGTGTCTAGGTTCTCTTGTTGAGTGGAGCAGTTCTTTCCTTTTTATATTGCTGAGTAGTGTGCTTGTTTGGTCATCCTACCGATGGTAATTTGGGTCATTTCCAGTTTGGGGCTATTATAAATAATGCTGCTATGAATACATTTGCACAAGTGTTTTTGTGGAATTTATTTTCATTTCTCTTGAGTAAATATATGAGTGAAATTTCTATGTTAAAGGGTACGTGTTTATAAGAAATTCAAAACTTTTCCCAGAGTGTACCATTTTATATTCCCCCACCAACGTATCAGTCACAGTTGCTCCACAATTTGGTGTTGTCTTTTTGATTTTAGCCATTTATATAGATATGTGGTGATATCTCATTGTGGTTTTCATTTGCATTCCCTATTGATTTGAGTACTTTTTCATGGGCTTTCTGGTTATGCATATTCTCTTCCTTTATGAATCATCTATTCTTCTGCCCTTTTTGCTTTATTATTGAATTGTAAGAGTTCTTTGTATATTCTGAGGGGTTTTTTTTTTTGGTCATATATATATATTAAAGATTTTATTTATTTATCTTACAGAGAGAGAGAGCGCGCGCGAGAGCAGGAACACAAGCAGGGGGAGTGGGAGAGGGAGAAGCAGGCTCCCCGTGGAGCAGGGAGCCCGATGCAGGGCTTGATCCCAGGACCCCAGGATCATGACCTGAGCTGAAGTCAGACGCTTAACAACTGAGCCACCCAGACCCCTTGTCAGATATATTTTTGCAAATATTTTCTCTGTGTCTACCTTATTTTTTAAGATTTTATTTATTTGACAGAGGGAGACAGCAAGAGCAGGAACACAAGCAGGGGGAGTGGGAGAGGGAGAAGCAGGCTTCCTGCCGAGCAGGGAGCCCAATGGCGTCCGTCAGTGTGTATCTCTTAAGGACACTTTCCTATCTGGCCACAATACAATTATCACAACTAAGAAGATTAATTCAGTCATACCAAATAATATACAATCTATTTTTTTTTTTGCTAAAATATTTGGTAAGAACTGTGTTAAATCTATTTATCAATTTGGCATCTTTACTATGTTGAGTCTTCCATTTAATGAACATGGTGTGTCTCTCCCATTTATTTTGCTCTTCTTTGGCTTATCAGTATTTTGTAGTTTTCAGCATACAAATCCTGTATGTATTTTGTTTAAGATTTAGACTTTCAAGTCAGTTCATACTGCTCCACCTCATTTTTTTAATATATAAAAATTAAAGAGGTTTTGGAAAGTAATTATTTCCTCTTTGGATCATTTTCACTAGCATAAGAACTTGAAGCAGAGTCCACTGCCTCTACACCTCTCCCCAGCTGATGCAAACAATGTATCATGATCAACTACTGCTATCTGCCTTGGGTATAAGAGGAAGATCAATATCCATGTCTGATTTAAGCCAGAATATCCCAAACTAATTAAAATCACCTATGGCATATTATACTTAAAAATACAACTTCCAGGACCCTATCCCAGGCCTCCTAGCCATACATCTCTAGGGGTGGCATCTTATAAATAAGTATTTAAGAAATTCCTCAGGTGTGGGGCACATGGGTGCTCAATCAGTTAAGCAACCAATTCTTGAATCTCAGCTCAGGTCATGATCTCAGGGTCATGAGATTGAGTCCTGCATTGGGCTCCTCATGGGGTGTGTAGCCTGCTGAAGATTCTTTCTCCCCTCATCTCTCTCCCCATTCTTGCATGTGATCTCTCGAAAGAAAGAAAGAAAGAAAGAAAGAAAGAGAAAGAAAGAAAGAAAGAAAGAAAGAAAGAAAGAAAGAAAGAAAGAAAGAAAGAAAGAAAGAAAAAGATTCTTGCTGATTCATAAACATGTATTACCATTTCTGGGCCTTGCTCATACTGATTTCCTAATGTGTAGTGCCTCACTCTTCTTGTGCTTTATCATTGCCCTTGCAAATTCAGTGCACTACTCCAACAGCAGTTCTAATGCTACTTCCTCAGAGACCTCTTAGCTGGAAATAGTTTCTTCTTGCACAGATTACTTGCATTTTTTAACGGCATTTAAAAAATGTATTTGTTGTTATTTCCCCTACTAGAAGGGCTGGGCTAGATTCCACTCATTTTTGTACTTCCCAATTTATTCAGTGCCTACTGTGTACCAGATACTGTAACAAGTC